AGCGCCTCATCACCTGGCCCAGCCGTCTCCCAAGTGTTTCGCAGGATTTACTGCAACGTGCGTGTGTTTGTAGGCGAACGCGGCAGCCAATTTGCGCACAGCAACGTCCCGCTCACGAAGCGAATGGCTAATTTTATCCGGGAAGACTTTCTTTGAGCCCGGTGAATGCGTCGAATGAACTGGAGCCACGGGGCTCGACGTAGGCAAGGCTTAAAACAGCGTTGCAGAGGCTTTGCATTTGATACAGCAAAAGGATGCATCTTCACACGGCGACTATTGTTTAGCCAGCGGAGAGGCTCTGTTACTTTGGTGCTGGGCGTTAGCCAGTGAAAAGAGGTGTACAGCACAGAAAGAGAGCCGGCTGTGTGAATGAGTAGCACTCGCTCAGCGTGCGAGACTCATTAAAATCTGCCGCCAGGTGCTAATAACAGAAAGAAAGACACCGGGTGAAAGGAAGCAGGAGGTGCCGCCTCCCCCTTGATGTAATCTGGTGTACCCGGGCGAAGGCTTCGCCCTCGGAAACTTGCGCTTCGCCTCCTTCACCGTTAGGCAGAGGCGAGGCCATTCGCTGGTTGCTCGGCAGCAGCGCAGTGTGGGTCACACAGTAAACATCGGACAGGAACAGGGAATAATAATAATAATAATAAAAATAATCCTTGCATTTGATGTAATAATAATAATATGATTAACAAATTAACTTTTGATGTAGAGCCTTATCACGTCTTCGAGACGTCTCAAAGCGCCTCACAGGATACGCAGTAAAGTGAATTGACTCTATGTTTTGTAGGCGGTGGAGAACAGAACGATTGTGAGATTCGGCAACAGTTGAGTGGAAGGCACTATTCTCGATCTTGAGAGGGAATGTACAGGGACCCCTCCCTCCTTCTCTCATCCCAGCCCCACCCCCACCCTGCCTGTTCTCAATGGATAAATCGTGTTGTAAACCTAACGTTGCTTTCGATGAGATAACAGAGCTGCCCTACCAGCTTATTGTCGTGGCTTTGAAGCAATCAGAAGCCGAGAGGACCCAGGCTTGGTTCCCAGGCGGGGAGCAACCTTTGGCGAGTTTCTTTACTCCTCACGCCCCTGTTTATCCGGCAGTAAATAGGTTGTTAGTCAATTGGCGGATCGTTTTCCGGGGATAATAATTCACAACTGTCTGTGGGACACTGCTGTGCCCAATTGGCTGCCGTGTTTCTCCCACAAAATACACAAAATTACAATATATTCTGTGAAGCGCTTTGAGACGTCTCAATGGCGTGATAAGGCGCTGTATCAAATGCAAGGATTATTATGATATTATAAGTGTAGTGACTGTGTATTTTTTCCTAAGGAGTCTTATTTCATTTTTAAAATGAAGAGCTGTGAACGTGTTCAGCGACTTTAAATAGCGACGTCACATCATGTTTCCCCTTCGCTCGGATAAAACTGCCATGTCAGCATTTTTAAAACCTTCGCAAACACCAACCCCTGCTCAGTTTTTTTCCTTCAGAGGATTTGTGTCTGTCTCTCTCTCTCTCTCTCTCTCTTTCCCACGTAATCCACCACCGCTTGCTCTTGGGCTTCAGTGCTTGGAGACAAAATGGGCAATTTATTGGGGCGTCCATTTAGAAAGGTGAACGTTAATCTACGAAAGAGCCAAATGGAAAGAAACTCTAGTTATTTTTGAGGCCGGGCCAAATACCGGGGTAAGTACTTGGGGGAAGCATTAAACTGAAAGAACAACATTAGAACGAGTTTTGCCATAGTTTCCCATTTAATGCATCAGCCCGGCTCAGTCGCTAGCGCTCTCGCCTCTGAGTCTGAAGGTTGTGGGTTCAAGTGCCCCCTCCGTCATGACTTGAGCTCACACAGACTACGCTGATGTTCCAATGCGTTGCATTGACGTTGGTGCTGCCCTTTCAGACGAGACATTAATCTGAGCTTCCCGTCTGTGCCCTGCGGATGTTAACGATCCCACGGCTCTATTTGAATAGAGAAGGGAATTTCTCTGTCCTGGTGTCTTGGCCGACAATCCCCCAGATAAGAGGAGGAGGAGTTCATGTTGAATTGTCTCACAGCACTTCGCAGGGAATTGCTGTCAAGCGTAGTGACTGTGCATTTTGTAGGAGAAAGCGGCAGATACTTTGGATACAGTGAGGTTCCCACCACACAAGGTGAACGGCCAATTTATCTGGACATCACACCCGGTGCTAATGTGCAAATTTGTACGTGCTCATTAATGCCTAAAGTTTTCGCCCACAAAATACACAGTCACTACACTTTACAGTATATCCTAGTGAAGCGCTTTGAGACGTCTCAACGCCGCGACAAGGTGCTACGTCAAATGCAAGCATTGTTATTATCGTTATTATTTTATTCAAGATGCTTTGCCTCCAAAAATAATTTATTTAAAAAAAAAATAAACGTTTATGGACGTTTGATAAGAGGGGCCGTGCCTTTCCTGCTGGGAGGATGTCATCTCAAATCGCCTCGCAGACATAAGGTCCGCCTATGATTTTCTTTCCATCGAAGCCAGTCTGTCCTGCTTTAACACACGGAGCATTGCTGCTTTAAGTGGAGATAACACAGCCAAATTATGAGCAGGTTTTAAGTCTGTGCCGCTCCCTGCCCTGGGCTGGGTGTGTGCGTGAGATCCGTCTCCTCTCAGAAGGGATGAGCAGGTGGAGCTAACTCGACAGGAAGCTCGGGAGGGCAGGGAACATTGACCTTGTCTCGCTCCACCCTCTCCTCCTTGCGATCGGGAAACTGGAGAGCAGTTTGTGAGCGAGGCTTCGGTCACAGCACAATAACTGGAATATTCAGCCCTGACTCGGTCGATTGGCTCTCAACGCTCTTAGCCTCCAGGGTGGGAAAGCTGCGAGTTCAAGCCCTCCACGACGGTGACATTGAACCCCTACTATCGTCCAGGCTGCAGCTCCAACGCTGTGCTGGAGGGAGCATTGTCAAGAGGATGTTTGGCACATCAAATCATGTTGATCGTTAAAGATCCCGGGGCGCTATTTGAAAAGAGGAAGGGGGTTTCTCTCACCCCGTGTCTTGGCCAACAATTCCCCCCATTCAGCTGCTTGTGGGACTTTGCTGCATTGGCCCCCGAAGTACACAGTCACTTCGCCTTACTGTATATCCTGCAAAGCACTTTGCGACGTTCTCCCAACACGAAGGGTGCAATGTCAAATACAAGGATGATTATTATTAGTAGTAGTAATTTACAGCTGACAACAACAACAACAATAATAATCCTTGCATTTGGTACATTAGTGCCTTACCACCTCAGAAGGACGTCTCAAAGCGCTTCACAGGACTTACTGTGGAATGGAGTGACTGTGTGTTTGTAGGCAAATGCGGCAGCACAATTGCACACAGCAAAGCCCCAGAAAACAGCCGTGAAACGAGTGACCAGTTTTATTTGGGGGGTCGTTGGCCAGGACCCCGGGAGAGAGACAAACTCCCTGCTCTTTTTCGAACAACGTCGTGGCATCTTTTAACGTCCACCCGAACAAGGCGCGGACTGGACTTCGGTTCAATGTCTCCTCCGATAACCGTGTGTCTGATTTAACAAACCAACCCATGGGAGGGACAACTGTCCTATCTATCTATCTATCTATCTATCTATCTATCTATCTATCTATCTATCTATCTATCTATCTATCTATCTATCTATCTATCTATCTATCTATCTATCTATCTATCTATCTATCTATCTATCTATCTATCTATCTATCTATCTATCTATCTATCTATCTATCTATCTCTCTCTCTCTCTCTCTCTCTGTCTGTCTGTCTGTGTTGTTTCCATCTATCTCTCTGTGTGTGTATTCACATCCTAATTTCGACCAAATTCAATAAATAATTCAATAAAGGATAACCAGAGAGAGAGAGAGAGAGAGAGAGAGGAAGGCAGGTCGTTAAAATTCCTGTTTAATGCAATACATTTTCCTGTGGACTTTTCTGTGTGTGGTGTGTGGTGTGAGAGTGGGGAATGACGTCTGAAACACGCAAATCGGTAATGTTTCGTTTCTAATCCAAACCCATTGATTGCCTTCACAGTGTCTGTCCTCCACTCTGAGACACACACACACTCTCTCTCTCTCTCTCTCTTTCTCTTCTCTCATTCCCTCCCTCCCTCTCTCTCTCTGTGTGTGTGTGTGGCTATACCTCTGGTTTTGATGCACAATTGCACTCTTAACAAAACTTTGTGAGACTTGGGGTCAGCAACTGTCCTGACAGCCTGAGGAGAGACAGAGACAGAGTGAGTGAGTGAGTGTAGTGCAGTGTGTAGTGTGTGTGACTGCATGATTTTTCTTTTGCTTTCTCTTTTTTCCCTCCTTCCCCCTTTTATCTTTCCTTTCTGGATCCCTTCAAACCAGTCTTGTCTTATCTCCTGTTACCCCCCACACCCAAAAAAAAAGAAGTGAGGATGAGTCTTGAGGGGAATGGAGCAGCAGAGAGTGCATCTGTGTCTCTCTCTCTCTCTCTCTCTGTGTCTGTGTGTGTATTGGGTTCAGATGAGAAACTGCAGATGAAATGAAAGCCTTTGGAAAATCTGCTCAAAGCCAATGTGGAACTGATCAGCGAATCGATTCGCAGTTCGCAAGGTGCAGGGAATGGATTGATATGGACCAGGTGATTGCATTGGTATCGATAGGCGATTGGCTGATATGGACCAGGTGAAATACACTGATATCCACAAGAGATTTGAGTGAATTGTTTCCAATTTTTATTTTAAGTGACATTTATTTATTTGTTTGTTTATATATATATTTTTTTTGTGTGTGTGTGTTGGGGTGTTGGTGGTGGGGGGGGAGGGTGTTGGGGGGAGACGTTAAGGACGAGGCGTATGTGAGATAGTGAGAAGTAAGGAGAAAAGGAAGGAGTGAGTAAGTAAGAGAGGGAGGGAGCGAGAGGGAGGGAGGGAGGGAGGGAGGGAGGGAGGAAATGAGAAAGGGAGGGAGGGAGTGAGAAAGCAAGAGAAGGAAGGAGCGAGAGAGAGAAAGCGAGAGAAGGAGCGATTGAATGAGCGAGTGAGGAAAGGAGGGTATGGAGCAATATGAGACACTGGCTTATGACACAGCGCTGAGCACCTTGGCTGCGGTGTTGGTGTACGTGCTGCTGAAGGTGGGCTGGGATGGCTACAGGCGTTGGCGAGCCCGGGCTCGGGTCCTGGTGGTGGGCTCTGGCCCCGTGGGACTGACGGCTGCGCTGGTGGCCTTGCGCTCCAGTAAAGTGGGGCGCTTGGACCTTCTGGAGGAGCGTTGCCGCCCTGCCTTGCTGGCCAGGCCCCAGCAGATAGCCCTGGACCCCCGCAGCGTGACCTTCCTGCTGGCGCTGGGGGTGGACTTTGACAACATGGAAGGGTGTTGGCACAACGAGCACTTCTTCACCAAGATCGGGATCTTTCAGGAGCACCTGCTCAGCATCCTGGAGCAAAAGAAGCAGGAAATGGACATTCACATCCACCTGGGCACCAAGGTGAGCGAGCCTCAGTGTTCTTGAGTGAGTGTTTGCCCCTCAGTTCCACCCATCCTCATTCTTCAAGTAAGATTCACCGTACTTTTATTGTAATAGTAATAACAATAATAATCCTGGCATTCGATACAGCACCTTATCGTGTCGTTCAGACGTCTCAAAGTGCTTCACAGGATATACTGTAAAGTGCAGTGACTGTGTGTTTTGTTTGCAAAACACAACAACAACAAATGACATTTGTATAGCGTGTGGAGTAAGGAAACTTGCCCAGTGTTTCACCCCGTCCAGGAATTGAACTCAGTTCCTCTCACTCGCGAGGTGAGTGCTCTAACCACTAAGCTACAGGACTCCTAACAACTTACCAGAAAGGGAATTGGGTTTTCATAGGAACAGTTAGTGAGAGACCTCATCAAAATCTAATCCCAAATCTACCGTCGCAGCACTCGATGACGATTACCTGTGAAGCGCTTTGTATGTTCCAGGCACTACAGCAAATGCCAAGAGATGATGTTGTTATTTGTATTGTGTTTATAGTACCAATTGTGGGTTGAGGTGCGATATCAGCACTTGTCAGAGATAGTACTGGCTTCCTGGCTTCAAGAACAAGCACTGATGCTTAAATAAACCTTAACCTAAATCGGTTGTTCGCTCCGCGGCTTGCTAGCGTTGTCTCGTGCAAATTGGTTGCTGCGTTCACCTCCAAAACACACCAACATGACACTTTAAAGTAAGTCCCGCGAAGCCTTTTAAGATGTCCTTCCTGCTTGAAAGGGCGCTGTAGCGAACGCACGGGTTCATTTAACAGGAATGTGGGGATCTGTAAAGAGCTGTGAATATGCCCGTGCCTTGATAGATAAATCAATAAAAAATATAAAATAAATAATTAAAAAATAAATAATAAAAGTAAATAAAAAAAACAAATATAAAAATAATAACTTGGTCAATCAATCCAGCATTGTTGGATTGATTGACCAGTATATTCTGTGAATCACCTTGAGATGTCTTTAAAACGTGATAAGGTGCTCTATCAAATGCAAGGATTATTATTAATGTCATCATTGTTTACATAATACTTTGTTTGAATGCTGTTGGTGTGAAACCCTCCATTCCTGGCTGTTAAATAGTTAATTCCGGGTTTGGTAATCATTAAACTGGCATTCAAACATCTACGTTTCTCGCCCTCTGCTCCGAGAGCAGATTAAATATGTGTTTATTGTTTTATTTACACTCACGGCCACAGCAACTGTAAATGAACAGGCGTTTCTGTTAGATATTAAAGCACGTGCTGGGCTCTTTTTCCTTGCGTCATCATCCCAAGTTTAGAGCTACCAGTTTATTGTTTACCAGCGTGTAATGTGATTGCTCAGGGCTATTTGGATACTACGATATGTAGTATTGTACAACAAAGTCCTGCTTTTTATTTTGACGCTCTGTGAGATCAATCAGCCCAAGATAGGCCTTGCTCTGTGCTATCACGCTGACTGATCAGAGGTGATCTGGCCTTAACCACATGCTCTCCACGCGGATGCCAGCTTTGGCTCACAACGCACACTCCTCACACACCCACTCGTCCTCTCATCAAGTACGTTGAGAGAGGATGAGTGCGTTCAGCTATCAAGAAAGATTGGACGGGTTAGAGTTTTTCTCTCGGGAGTTGAGGCAGTATATAGTTTGGGACATGACGTGTGCAAGCGACTGCCAGGATGGTGGAAGGTGAAGTGGATGGACCTTAGTCTTTTGTTTAGCAATTCTTATGCTCTTATGAGTTATTCAGAGGGGACCCGGTAGAGGTGTGCAAGGATATCAAAGGATTCGATGCGGTGGATGTTGATGGGACTATTGCCACTTGTCAGTGGCAGAGCTAATAGGGAATTTAGGAGAAATTTCTTAACGCAAATTCGTGATGAGAGCGTAGAAGAAACCAATTTACCACCGGGAGGGATGAATCATCGGTTGGGGAGTCAGCCCCCTTTAAACCGCACTGAGGCGTGACTAATGTCCCTTTGTGTAGGACTGTGGTAAAACAATATAACTAGAGGTCATTATTAATAATAATATTAATCCTTGCATTTGATATTCTCATGTTGCTGAGACGTCTTAAAGCGCTTCGCAGGATATACTGTAAAGTGCAGTGACTGTGTATTTTGTGGCCAATTTTGAATCCCGAGTAGTGGAGGTGCAGGACAGGAGGAGACCGGAGAGATGGGGAGATACTTGAAGGGATTTTCTCGGTGAGGGCGAGGACCCTGAGATCAATCCACAGCAAACAGCTCCGGCCCTTGCCTCGAGTTCCTGAGAAAGTCTGTTGAAAAACTGCTTGTGGTGCATTGGCAGCATTGAGTCAGAGTTAGTGGGATCTCTGGCTAATTCAGTTCCTGTCCTATATAAGGTATTGAGGCCAGCGTTAGTGCCCACTGTTACTCCAGCTGAGATCAGCACAGACAAGCATCCCTCCTGGAAACTAGCCAAGTTGGATCATTACCCACTCAGCCTCCGGGTGGGGGAATTGGAGCAACAATAATTAAGGCAAGACAACTGCAGAATCGCTTTCTCGGTCATTGGAGGCTGCTTGCTCACAGTAAGGTTCCACAAACAGCTGTGAAGTCGAACGATCAAACCTATCTGGAGGATTGTCGGCCAGGACGCCGAGAGAGATGCCCTTTTCCCACAGTGTCTTGGGATCTTTAAACTGAGAGACAGAGACAGACAGAGAGCCAAAAAGAGACACACACGTGGAAAGAGAGAGAGAGAGTGAATCATTTGGGGGGGGGTGGGGATAGACACATACACACACAGTGAGTGAGAGAGAGACACACACACATACATGCACACAGTGAGACAGAGACTCATTTCCATTGATGTATGCGTGCACACACTCTTTCACGTATTTTTGGACGATTGATTAACATTTTAGATAACATCTCCCCTGTGTCCTCCAGTCACTTGCTGATCTTGACAGCTGATTAATTCAGAGCAAATTCATTTTTGGTGTGCTTTTTATATATATATATATATATATATGTGTGTGTATATATATTTATATGTATGTGTGTATATATATATTCACAGAGAGAGAGAGAGTGAGAGAGGGGGAGAGAGAGAAAAGAGCGAGGAGAGGAGGAAATGATGTGTTAAAACTAGTAGGCAGGCGAGTGTCTTGAGAGCATCAGTATTGACACACAATAAGTGAATGAGTCAAACCTGACGTGCAGTGTTTTATTCCAGCACTGAGATTATGTCAGAATCCCACGATAATGTGCTTCTGTCTAATTGAGTTTTGAGGAACGTTGACGTGAGCGGACGTCTGAAATACACTTGTTTACTGTCGTTTGTCATCCGCACTCAAGCTTGTCTTTCTATCTCCTGCTGAGATGTGCCCCTACACCCAAGAGTAGACAGCATGCACAGTAGACAATAAGCCACAGAAACCGTACAACCATTTGACCATCATGTCTGTGCTGGCTCTTTGTAAAGATCAATCCTTTCAACCCCATTCACCTGCAACCACCCCCCCCCCACCACGCCCCCTCCACCTTCTCCGGACGCTGAGCCATAGGGAGTGGGAGGGGAGGGGGAGGTGACCACAGGCACAGTTGAAGAGAAAGAGTGTGACCTGAATACGGTGAAGGAGGGGGCAAGGCGGAGGGATGGAGGGAGAATGTTCCAGAGTTTCAGGGCCTGTGCCTAGAGGCTGAAGGTTTGGCCGCTGATGGTGGAGCGGAGGGGGACGAGCGACAAGCAGGAGGCCAGAGATAGTCAGGTAGTGGATTCACAGGATACACTGTAAAGTGCAGTGACTGTGTGCTTTGTGGCTGAATATAATAATAATAATCCTTGCATTTGATATAGCGGTTTTCACGTCTTCTCGATGTCTCAAAGTGCTTCACAGAATAGACTGTAAAGTGAATTGACTGTATATTTGTGGGCGAAATACGGCAGCCAATTCCGCACAGTAGCATCCCCACAAACAGCCGTGGATTGAAATGACCAATTTATTATTGTTTTCTTGAGGGATTATTATCAGGCTGTGTGTGGAGTAAGGAAACTTGCCCAAGGTTTCACCCCCTGCCGGGAATCGAACCCAGGTCTCTCGCTTGCAAAGCGAGCGCTCTACCCACTGAGCTACGGGATAGAAATATCTTTCTAGGTCCCCTTTGAAAACTAATGTGGATTCTGCCTCGACCCCTGCTCCTGGCAGTGCATTCCGTACCCTCACCTCTCCTGCTGTGCGTGAAAACATTTCTCCTGATCTCCTCGCTGGCACCTCTGCAATGCAATAACAACAACAAAATGACATTTGCAGTGCTCTTCTCCAGGCTCTACATTGCAGGGTTCAAACCTACGACACACAAAGCCCCGTAGTAGGGCTTGAACCCACAACACACTGTTTCGCTGCTGCACTCTCTGCCTTCAACAACTTCCTTTTTTTAAAAAAAAACCCTCTCTCTCTCTTCATCGCTTCAATATACGTTAACGCTCGGGTTTACGTGAAAGAAGCTATGTAAAGCCAGGTTGTTGCTGCTAATTGAGCAACTATACAGCGACTGATGATTTAACGCATCCCGGCTGGCACTGCACTGCCCACGCACGGCAGATGTTTGCAGAGTGAACACACCGCGCTCACTTTATTTACCGTCGAATGTAAAGCCGACAGCGCTGTCAGTGAACTATCAATGTGAGAAATCTAAATGGGAAATTTCTCTGTTTAAACAGCTTTCAGTATTTTAGTGAAAGATCCGTCTTCTCTGGCGAGGCCAAAGGCAGGAGGAAAGCAGGTGAAAGGAAAAAACGTTTATAATAATAAATAATAATAATAATAATCCTTGCATTTGACACAGCGCCTTATCACATCATTGAGACGTCTCAAAGCGCTTGACAGGATAGACTGTAAAGTGAATTGACTGTATATTTTGTGGACGAAACGCGGGAGCCAATCGCGCACGCCAGCGTCCCCACAAACAGCCGTGGATTGAAGTGACCGAATTATTATTATTATTATTTTTATTCATTTTGTATATTTTTTGAAGGGATTATTACCCCGGAAATGCGATCCTCCAATCGACTTAACAACCGTTTAACATTTAACAACGTTTCCCTCCCAAATGGTTTGCCACAGGGAGCAGCGCAGCTTTACATCTGCTTAATGGAGATGGTCAGATTGCCTTGTCGCTCTGCGCAGACCGACCGGTCTGCTGTAACCCACGCTGGCTGAGCCCTGTTCGGGGAAACTACGTGGGAAGCCGTGGGCAGTGCTCTAGCGATGTCTTTGTGCTGTTCATTACACAGCAGTTATTCAGCGTAGAGTGTGTGGGAGTCTCCAAGGCCTTCGCTGACTCCTGTGCAATCTGATCTCTGCAGTTTTATTTTCCCTAAAGGCGTTGGGCACACAGGCTGCCTCGTCCCAGCCCGGCTCGGGCTCGCTGCACGCACCTCTACGGCAGAAGGTTATAAATAATAATATAATAATCCTTGCGTTTGATGCAGCGCTTTTCACGTCTTCTCGACTTCTCAAAGCGCTTCACGGAATGTGCTGTAAAGTGAATTGACCGTGAATTTGTTATGGCTTCAAGCCTAAACTGATGATGATGATGATAATAATAATAATAATAATCCTTGCATTTGATACAGCGCCTTATCACATCGTTGAGTCATCTCAATGGGCTTCACAGATTATATTGTAAAGTGGAGTGACTGTGTATTTTGTGGATGAAACGCGGCAGCCGATTGTGATGTTCCCAACGAAGTGATAAGGCACTATATCAAATGGAAGGAATATTATTATTAAGACTCATTTTTAAAAGAAACAAGTTGCTTGCCGACTTTTCCTCGGAATGCCCAGGCTGAGAGCTTTATATTGTGTTTAGTCTAGAAATTAAAGTGCCAGCTCGTTTATCAGTCTCCGCTGCGATTAAATCCACTCCATTTTGCACTAATGTATTTAAACCTCTTTGACCGCACTTTCAAGTCGTTTTTTTTTTCCTCATTCAAACCTCCGCCCAACCCCCAGCTCGGGCGCCTAACCTGTCACGTCAAGCACATCGAGACGAGAAAGTTGGCGTGTAAATGTAAACTGTACTGTATAAACTCATCCCTTCTCCTTCGCGAAACGTTGGGCGAGTTTCCTTACTCCGCACGGCTCTGTTCACCTCGCAGTGAGTAGGAACCCGGTTATTAGTCGATTGGCGGATCACTTGTCCGGAGGTAATAATCCCTTCCTAAATAAATAAATAAATAATAATAATAATTTGGTCACTCAATCCACGGCTGTTTGTGGGGACGCTGCTGTGCGCATATGGTCGCCGCGTGATAAGGCGCTGTATCAAATGCCAGGATTATTAGTATGAAGAGGCCAGTAAGTAAAAAAAAAAATCCACACTGATAAATTAATGAAGTTTAAAGCCTCTGGTTTGGTTGTCGTGGAGATTTGTGTTACTCGTGACCTTTTTTTTAATCCCTCAACCACAGTGGAGTCTATAAAGATTTTATGCTGCTTGTGGTCTGAGGGTTGAGCACGTGTTGCAGTCTTTTCTGTTTCATTAAAAATGCTCCTGAATCAGCATGTCTTGGGTTTAAAGAAACTGAAGCCAGTGTTGGACTTGAGTTTATTGAATAACCATCCTCGCTGATTCCCGTACAGGGCTTCTATCGCTGGAACATCTCAAAGCGCTTCGCGGGGAATGCCCGGCAAACAGCAGTGAAGTGGCTGTGCGTTTTGTGAGCGAAAGCGGCCATCAATTTTGCCCAGAAACAGGCATTTAGTGAATGAGTGACACCCCTGATAGTGCAGTGCTCTCCCTCTCTTCCCCCCCCGCACCAGTACTGCACCAGAGGGTCAGCCTGGACAGTGAGTTCAAACTCCCCCCCCCATCCCCCCCATGTGGGGCTTGAACCCACCTCTGACATGGGAAGCGAGAGCGCTTGGGAATGAGCCAAATATCTGAGGAATACCTTCGAGCTTCATTTTCAGACATTACCATAAATACGGGAAACCTCACGTAAGTCGTATCAGTGGTGACCGTACATTTAACACGACTCGTGCAAAGTACGAGTTATGTCAAACTTGCATAGAATACAACGACCTTAAGCGATTAGATGATTTATACAGAGCGAGTTTTTACGTTTATTTTTTAACAGTTTCTCTCTCTCTCTCTCTCTCTCTCTCTCTCTCGCCAGTTCACGGAGGATTACCTGAAGAAGATCCCAGCATCAGATCTGCCCCGAGTGATCGTGGTTTGCGATGGTTCCTGCGGAGAGTCCAGTTCTGTGCTCGGCATCACCTCCGACTACATTGTGGAGTCCTGCAATGCGTATGGTGCTAACGCAGCCTTAGAGAGGGAAGACCAGAGACAGGTACCTACTCCCAACACACCTCATCTTGACACACGTCTTTCAGGGTCTGAAAAACAATGTTTTTACCGACGCTTCCCTCCCCTCAACACGCCTCCCCAAAGCCATGGCTACGCTTCCCCTTCCCTCAACAATGTTTGAACTTTGAAGTGTCTACAAATATATTCCGAGAGAGAAACACATGCACTCGCACACGCAGTCACACACACGCACACAGAGCCACACACACAGAGCCGCAGTCACACACAGTCATACACATGCACACACACACACAGAGCCACACTCACACACACTACACACACACACACAGTCTCACACACACACACACACAGTCACATACACACAGTCTCACACACACCCAGTCACACAGACACACACACACACACACAGTCACACACACACAGTCACACACACATAGTCGCACACACACACACACAGAGCCACACACATGCACACGGAGCCACACGCACACAGACACACGCATACCCGCGTGAAGAGCGCTTTATAAATGCAAATGATTGGTGTAATATTTTAGAGTTTGGGCCATTGTCCTGCACAAAACCATTGACCATTGACCAAACGGGAGGTAAAAAGTGCAATGACTCCCGAGAGGCTGCTGTGAGCTTTAGCGGTGAGGTGTAGTAGCCTGACCCGGTGTGGGGGTGGTGGGTTGAGCACTGGTGCTTTTTAGATGGTTTTTGGAAGGTCCAACAGACCACAAAATAATAATAATAAAATAATGTGCAGGATAGCTTTCCAACATCGCTCTCCATGCTTAAGCACATCAAACGGTCTGGGATATTATTCCAAAGGTCAGTGAGGCTGCTCCTGGGTGAAGCAGCTTTAAGTCTTGTTTTTCTTGCGGTTTCTAACCAGAGGCCGCTACTGATTTAGCAGTATAAAAATGTGCAGGGATTAGAGATTAGAATCCAAACCTCCAGGATAGGAACGAGCGCCAACACAGGCCTGAATGGCCTCCTTCATTGGTGTAATTTCTATGGTGAAAATATTAGTCCTTTAGCACAGAAATGCCCTACAAACAGGCAGTAAAGGGAATGATCAATTTTATCTGGGGGATTGTCGACTGGGACATAGAAACGATACACCACAGAGACAGGCCATTCGTTGTGTTTAACAACAACTTGCATTTATATAAAGCCCTTCACCCGGGTAGTGTCTCAGAGCGCTTAAAGTTCCACACAAGCCTACTCCCATCATCCATCACCCACCCACCACCATAACTAATTTCCTTCCACCGTACCAGTCTATTCCCTTCTCACTCAAGTCCGTATCAAGCAAACAAATCGAAATTAAAGAGACGCACAACAAAGAGAGCAATCTGAGTGTACGAGTGTGTGTGTGTGTGGGGGGGTGGGGGGTGTTTACAAATTGGAAGCTATTTGCTCTTTGGCTTAGATGTAACAATTCTGCTCTCACTGTCAGGTTAGTGGGTCAAGCGATTCTAACCCATAAGTATCTCCAGAACTCAGTGTCCTGGTACAGTGTCCAAAACTACTCTCTTGTACTTCGTCCCACAATGTGTTGAATTCTGGATATATCGGTGTGAGAAGCGTATGGGACAACAGAGCGTGATTCATGGCTATTCTAAGCTAATTGAAGAAAGTTGGTTCCTCGCCTACCCTGCTCATTCTCACTATGACCCTACGGCTGACCAGAGCTCAGGTCCTTTTTGATCTTCCATCGCCCAAGTCTCACTGCTGGAAGTTGAAAGAAACCATAAGGATATTAAGCAGATGGGAATGTTTTGTTTCAAACTGTATTTTCTGGTTATCTCAGACATCCATCTATGGACTCATCAATCCTGAGTGAGACATGTTAACTATCAGACATCGGGCAGGTCCAGGGATTTTCTGACCTCCCTGGGATTTCTGGTTTTGTACGTGTTCTAAGAACAACAACTTGCACTTATTTTGCTCCCGTAAGCACAGTCGAAAAGCAAGGTTTTCAGGTGGGACTTAAAAAAGGGGAGAGAGGGGGCAAGATGGAGGGATTGAGGGAGAGTGTGCCAAGGTTTCGGGGGGAGGGGGAATTGGCTGAAAGCAATTACACACACACATATACACCTAAAACAACAACAAATTGTCCTTAGGCACTGAGATTTTAATGGCGTATGAAGTATTTTGGGACAACAACAACAACAAGATTACGTTTGTATAGTGCCTTTCATGTCAGGAGGACGTCCCAAGGTGCTGGACAGTGACAGCATTTCAGACCCAAACTGGGGTTGTGGGGCGTAAGGGAGGGAAGGGGAAGGGGGGTGGCCGATGGCACGGTCGAAGAGGACGGTCTTGAGGTGGGATTTGAAGGAGGCTAAGAAGGAGGCAAAGCGGAGTGACTGGGGGATGGAGTTCCAGAGTTTGGGGGCAGAGTGGCTGAAGGCTCTCCCGCCAATGGTGGGGTGGGTGGGTGGGTGCGTCAGGGGATGTGGAGCAGCCAGAGCCGGCTGAACGGAGGGAACGGGCGGGTTGGTAGGGGGATAGGAGGTCGCAGAGGAAGGGTGGGGCGAGGCCATGGAGGGCTTTGTATGTGAGGACCAGGATCTTGAACTGGATCCTCTGAAGGATAGGGAGCCAGTGGAGTCGGGCGAGAGTGGGGGAGATGGGGTCACGGAGTTTGGTGCGGGAGAGGACACGAGCTGCAGAGTTCTGGATTATCTGCAGCCTGCGGAGGGAGGACTTGGGAAGGCCGACAATAATGTGATTCATGGTGTGTGATTCGTGAACTCAAAATAACACACACACACACACTTCGAGGCGTTTGAGGTTCTAGCCACTGGATCAAATGCTAAGACTGTGAGTGTTGTAAGCTCTCCTTCTAACACGGATTAAAACCTCAACTCTTGACAACAAGCAGCAAGGGGATCTTTGTGATGTCCACAGATTGCTGATGGTAGATTGCGTCCAGCACTTCCTGTCTCAGTACACTAACAGCTCAAGGTTTAATACCAAGTTATTCACGCACAAGTCTGAGGCAAACACTTATCATTGGCATTTTTCTCAACTAAAATCCCTATTTTTTTTCCCCCTTCCCTCCCCATTTGTCCCCATTCTACACCCCCCCCCCCCTCCCCCAGCCTTTCCCCCTTCTCCTCTACTCTTAACACAACACAGGGGAGCATTTGATTCCATCTAGTTTCTTGACAGCATGTGTTTACTAACTAGATAACAGTGATATAACTGTCCATTTGGTGAGGATAGGTGGTTACTTACACATTGTGTAGAACCCGCAGAGAGATTTATTATTCAACAGTGACAGTGTTTAGTTGGTTGATATACTCTTAGCTGTAAAACGTGTATATCAAATGTGGACACGTTTATCAGAAAGCATTCTCGTTAGTGGGAGCTCGAACCGCTGCACTTGTTTTTACGAGTTACATTTCCACCCGATGTTTCACCAAGTAATCTCGGTGAATATTTATGAGATTGTCCCATTAACTGGGATTTTACACCTATGACTGAACTGCTCCATTTTTCACAAACCAAGGCTCAGAGCCACCAGCATCAAGCCACGAGCAGCCTGTCAATGACACTCCTCAGAGGTCAAGGCTCAAAAGGAGAAGAATAAACTGCTCTCGCAATAGAGTTTCACAATGCACAGTGAGTGAAAGGCTTTAAATACAATTGACCTGAGAGTGTGTTGTGTGTGTGAGAGAGAGAGAGAGGGAGAGAGAAAGAGATAGCACAGAAGAGAAAGAGGAAATAAGGGACTGGGAGGAACTGTTCATTGAATCACATGAGTCTACAGCGCAGAAGGAGGCCATTCGGCCCATCGTGCCTGTACTGGCTCAGTGAAAGAACTCTCTGTTTAGTGCTCTGTGTGTCAGCCTGGCGCAGCGGTAGCCCTCTCACCTCTGAGCCAGAAGGTTGTGGGTTCAAACGCCAAGTCGGGACTTGGAATTGGTTTATTGTGGGAGGTGCCGAGAATGAATGAATTGCTATCAACATCTCCATTGTTGTAGCAAGCGACTACCAGGATGGTTGAAGGTGACCAACACCCCCACCCCCCCCACCCACACACACACGCCCCACTGGTGTGAACCCTACATGCAGCAGATGCAGAGTAAATCTCTAGGACGCAATGTCCAAGCAATCTATCCTCATTCACGGTTTGTCATCACACTGCACCCCATTCAACTGAACGACTGAGACGTGTATAATAGGCTGCAGTCTGGGGGGTGGTGGTGGGGGAGGGGGGTGAGCGGCCGGTGGGATTTTGGTGTATTTATATCCTGTTATCCATTGACAATTGATCTGGACTGAAATTCCACCTCCATGCCTCACCAGAAATTGGCTCAATTGCGTGTGTCTGTTTACGCAGGAACTGCCTGGAGGGTGTTGGTGGGGTGGGGGGGTTGTTTTCTTGCCAAGTTGGACACTGCAAATAATGTACTAAATCGGTCATTCACTTCATGGCTGTTTGTGGCACAAATTGGCTGCCGTGTTCGCCTACAGAACACGCAGTCACTGCACGTCACAGTAAAAACACAGTTAAGAACCCCGCAAAGTGCCTTCGAGACGTTTCCGCAAGGCGACAAGGCGCTATATCAAATGCAGGGCTCGTTCTAATCTTCAGCTTGAAGGGAATGTCCCCAAAGAATTTCCTCTTCGACCGTCCACCTTCCCCCTAACCCTCCCTCGGCTCGGTGTCGTTGCTCCCCCACCGTCGAGGGTTCTGGGACGCTATCCTGCGTGGGAGGCCCCGTGTAAATGCAAGTTATTCAGTCTAAGACTGTGAGAGTGTGAGCGCTATTCAGCCCCAGGGAGTTGTTGATGTTAATGTGTGTCTTGCAGGTTCCCACGCCAGAGATCCGTGGCCACGACTTGCACTTCGACCTCTCGGCTTACGGAGTGGAATTCGCCCCCACCGCCGTCAAAGAGGCTCAGCACTTGCAGCCCTCGGCCGCCAAGCCCGGCTTCCATCTGAAGATCTACGGCACCTTCCGCAACCGCTACATGGGTCTGGCCTGCCCGGGGCTGGACACGAAAGTGGTCAAGTTTCTCCGTCACACCCCTAACTCGTCGGTAAGTCAATCACTGCTCCCAACGGCAAGCAACATGGTTTTAGCTGGTTAGACTCCAGCAGTTATCCCCCCAGCGCACACTCTATTGTAGGAGGGATGGGGGAGATTGGGAGGGGAGGAGGTTAAACAACAGCAACAACAGGTGGGGGTGTTTTGCCCTGTTGGCACAACACTGTGAAATCGTCATCAACGCAAGAGGTTAGCAAACGTTTGTGTTTTTTGTACTTAGTTCACCCATCAAAACACCACACTCTCTCACCCGCACTCAAGAGACGTTGTGAATAGAAAATTGGGAGCATTTGGGATCAAATCGCAGCGTTGGCTGTTCTTCAAGCTTGATGAGCATTTCATGGGAGAATGAAATTTGTGGCGCAGGAGCACAAACTGGCAGAACCGGTCCCGCTACACGCCCACTACACACACGCACGGACCTGCTTTCAGCTCATTGAGAGCTGTAGTGACCTGACCAGGCCAGTTAGTGCCTCTTGGAACAAACGGTGTGAATGGCTGGCTTGGGGATTAGGAGCCCGCCTCTGAGATAAGCAGTTAACGTCGTTTGTGGTTGTGTGTCCACAGGAAGTTGATGTGAACTGTACAGAGGCCAGGCCTGAAAGGGCACGATGCTCAGATCTGATCAAAGCCAAATCTGATCAAAGTAAGATGTTTGTCTTCCGCAAATTGAATCAGTAAACAACGTTAGGCTTAACTTACATTAATCCTGCAGTGGTAATCACTGGCAATAAACTAATCAGGGCCATTAGCTGTTCTGTGTCGTGTACGTTGATTTGACGATGGTAAATTGCTCTGCCATCCATCCTGGCAACGCTACAGATTCTGTAGCTTAACAACATCCAACAAATGCCCCAGGTCCATGCCAATTCCTTCAGTGTTGTGTGGGGCAGCTTCTGTAGTGACTGTGGATCAAGGAGCCCAATGGTTGACATAGAGCTCCTGCTGATGTTTAATTTAACGTCATGAGAAACTTCTAAGGTGGGTTAATTGGAAGGGAGATGTCAGATCCTTATTGTGTGCTGATGGACTGAGGCCTCTTGGGTTGTGTTGGGTAGCGAGCTGCGAGGTGATGGGACCGCAGCTATTTAGCTTCTCCTCGGCAGAAGCATGAGAGGTTGTATCGTAGCCAAGTCTTACCTGGAATTCACCCAATATCCATGTGCAAAACAGTCCGCAGGGGAGACTGGAACTCTTGTTATTTGCTTTCCGATTTATTAGTTTTAGTCTTACAATATCAAACAAAGTATCGTCCACTGATAATTAATTGGCTGCAGAGTGACGTGTGTGTGTGTGTGTTTTTGTCTGTGTGATTACTGAAGCGTAAAGATCTTGAAGCACATTCATCAAAGCCTGACTAATCTCTTGTTTATCTGAAGTATTAATAATGAACGGCAGAAGGGTCATTCTTGCAGGCTGTTCAACGCCGGTTATTAACGCACTGGAGGAGGGGCGAGCAGTTTCCTGGTTACCACCGAGTGATGCTTCTTTGTGAAGCCGGGGAGCAGCCCTGAATAAATTGACCATCGCCGCGAAACAGAAAGAGACACTCAATTTGACAAACAGCCTATTACTCAGGCTGCAAAGGAGATAGCAATTGTTTTTTGCATTGACTATCAACTGCAGAGATCCCCATCTCATCCTCGTCTCTCCTGTCTATTGACAGATGTTCAAACCGTGTTAGCTTTGTAGCTATAGCAGTTTAGTACCTGATGTGCACACAGCCCTTTGCACCGATTAACCTTTGGCTAAGTATTCTCGCCCTGCTGTGCCCTGCTGTTCATGTTCTCCTGCACTTGCCCTGCAGTTGATCACTTTGATGCCCCTGCGCTCATTCTCCCCTGTCAGCACAAATCTGAGCTCGAGTTTCAGCCTGACCAAGGAGCAATGGCTTGGCCACATTGTACGAGGCAATCCTGCAGCGCTTGCAAAACACACGGTCATTCCCACTTCGCAGTATAATCCTGTGTTTCCCAACAGTTTGCAAATCGCTTTGAAATTGGCGCAGATGGCAACTTAGCCGGAATGGGGGGAAAGGCACATGTGGGTGCCTGTGTGTGGGCATGCGTGTGGGCGTTCGTGAAAATAGGGGGTGTCAATGTAGCTTGTTAATGGAAAGGGAATAAATACAGTGGAGGGCATGAGGACAGTGGAGGGCAATAGACAGAGGTTGCATAGGTTATACGGCAACTAGTCCCTACCAATGTTTACTCCACATGAGTCTCCATCCACTCTTCTTCCTCCCCATACCCTTCGATTCCCCTCTCCCTCATGTGTATACCTGGCTTCCTCTTAAACCCATGCTCGCTGTGTGATTCAACCATCACTTCGGGCAGCGCATTCCACCGGTATCAAGAGATAAAAAGGCCACTGTGCCAGCCCACTGTCCCTGCCAACCCCATAGTGTAGTGGAGTTCAAAGCTCTCTGTCCTTGAACTCTGTGTGTGTATGTGTGTGTGTGTGTTAGCTGGTACCAGTTGTTTAATGAGAAGGTGCCACTGGCTCAGTGCCATCTTTTCTGGTGCTAATGAGATTTCTTTGCAAGGCAATCCTTTGATCAAGGCGAGCAGGGTTGAGTTGAGTTTATTCTGAATTTCTTTCAGTTGCTCGTGGTGATTCACGTCTGCCGTGAGTAGCCGACCGACTGCAGGGTCATTTGTTTTTAATGAATGGGGTCCATTGGCGTTATTGTGTTCGTCGGCAAGGGATGCACCCAATCAGAGTACTGCCACAACACCTCAGTCCTCTCCATCCTCTGTTTCCATTGCGACCAGTTGTCCCTACTCCCCACTCAGGGATAGAAATAATAATAGCAGCTGAGAAGCAATCATTTAGCAGCTATTGTGTTACGAGGATTGATTGCAAAGAACGTTACGTCACGGAAACAGGCCACTCAGCCCAACCGGTCTGCGTTCATCCTCCACACAAGTCTTCGCCCCATTCAGGGGAGGGTCAGCTGAACAAACAATCCCAGCCACGGCAATCTACGGCCAATGTCTCACCAGAGCAACGTATTAACACCTATCAAGTGAAAGCTCTCACAGACTGGGGTGGGCTGGGCTTGGCTTGACGTTTCTCATTGCCTTGGACTCTGGAAATTGTAGACAAACTGTTCCCTTTGGTTTTCTCACGGTTACAATACCCACGGACAGCAGCCGATGGCAATGGCAGTCATTTGACAAAGATATCTAGGCATTGGCCATGTAAACCACTCACTAAGTATGAACAGATAGATAACCCTTGCACTTGATACAGCACCTACAACGTCAATTCTCTAAGCCCTTCACAGGTAATCGCTGCTGAGTGTTTGTAAGTAAACACAGATGCCAATTTGCCCACAGAAAGATCCCACACACAGCCATGAAGTGAACGTGTAATAAATCTGGGGGATTGGCAGCCAGGATCCTGGGAAAGAGAAATTCCCCTCAGTCCCTGAATAGTGTCACGGGATCTTTAATGTCTACCTGAACAGGGAGATGGGACCTTGTATTAAGGATGGGAACTCGGACAATTTAATCTGCATCTGAGTGTCAGTCAGAACTGCGAGCCTCAGCTCCGTCGTAGGGAGTCACAAAGATTGAAGAGAAAACCGCGAGGTGGAAATGCACAGTGAGGGGAGGTGAGAGTAAGAGAAACAGAGAGTGAGTGAGTGTGCGAAAGAGAGCAGGTGAGAGTGAGGGAGGGAGAGTGAGTGAGGGAGAATGAGTGAGTGAGAGTGAGAAACAGAGTGAGAGAAGAGAGTGACAGTGAGAAAGAACGCAAGAGGATGAGAGTGGAAGAGAGAGAGAGAGAGATAGAGATTGAAAGAGAGAGAGAGAGAGAGAGAGGGGTGAAAGTTTTGGATGTGAACCTTTAACAGAACTGTAACTGTTTCTCTGGAGAATGTAGTTTCTGGCTGTGACCAGCACACGATGACCCAGAGAGACAAAAGGGCGTCATTAAGGAGGAAGTTTACAAAGTCGAAATCAGGAGCTATATACACAAGGAGACGGCTGATGGGCAATAATTATTAATCCAGATTGCGGAATGCTGGAATGAATCCAGTTCGAGGAATGTTGGAAAGAGATTCTCAGGGGCTGCGTAAGGTATAAAGGTAAAACAGGCTTTCTATCCCAGTGCCAGGTTCACAGAGCTCGCTAAGACATGGGCATTAGAGGAACAAAGAGGTGAGTGGGCCAGTCCAGGTCATTACCTCTGGAAAAAGGCCAATAGCATTAGTAGGTGACATCTTGCCCTTATGGCTTTCTCGGAGGACAATGTCTCGAAGCACTTGACAGAGACCGACGCGGGAAGAAGGAGGGTTGGTTTGGGGATGTTGACGAAAGTTCTGGTCAAAGAGGGTGGGGGTTGGCAATGGGATCTCCCTGACTGGACCAAAGCCATTTGCTGATGTGGTTGGGTGTCTTGTTGCATCTCTCTGTTTCTCGGTTGCCAAGTTCCGTGCTGAATATAAACATCTAAAAACCTTCGAGAACATCTTATAAAAGCCAATAAATCCCTGGCAGTGAGCGAGGCAGTAATTCAGGGTTTGAGCCCTGCTGAAGCTGACGCACTGGGCAGATTGGTTGTCACAGCGATATCACAGCAGCAGAGCCTTAAGATTGAATTACAGGCTGGAGGACACTCGCCAGACCAGCTCCTGTCCCACGTTGAGCAGGACAGGACTCTCTCGTGAGGACACTCTCGCGGAGCTGAGGTGTGGGGAAGGGAGGGAGGGAGGGAGACAGTAGATGGTTTACAGTGTTTACCAGAGCCCCGTAAACAGAGGGAGAGGAGCCATTCTGCAAAAGACGTTCGACGAAATTATAATAAATAATAATAATAATCCTTGCGATCGGTATAGCGCCTTAGGACGTCCTCCCGACGCGAGAGGCGCTGCACAAATGTAATGTTTTTGTTTGTTTGTTCATCATGACGAATTGCTGAATTGCTCTCTTCCTTTTATTTCCCCTCCTCTCCCTCCCCTCCGCCCCCACCCCCACACACGCGCAGATAATGAAGAATATATTTCATCAATCCTTCAACGCTTACAAGACTGACATCGAGCCCCGCATCAACGACCTGACCGTACACTTGTTGCAGTGCAGCCGAAGGCTGTTTGAGATCATGTTGTCCCACAGGAGAGTGACCGCAGCCTACATCGAAGGGGACAATGTGGTGGTGACTATCGAGGGAGAGGCAGCCAGAGTGCTCAACTTCGACACAGGTAATAATAATAATAATAATCCTTGCATTTGATACAGCGCCTTATCACATCGTCGAGACATCTCAAAGCACTTCACGGGTTACACTGTAAAGTGGAGTGACTGTACTTTTTTCTCAGCCTCAGTGTTTATCCAGCCCAGCAACCTCCGGTTCCCAAGGCCAGCTTTTATTAATTAACTGGCTGTTTTGGAATGGGAAAGCAGGGTGTGTGATGGGCTAGTTATCGAGGCTGAACGTTAGCACGCCACACACCACGCTTTACTTCATCAGAAAGAGTTTGCTGCCGTTTCCAGATCACGGCTGATCTCTGTAAACAGCTATACGGCCCCTCTGTGAGGCAGAGAGAGACGAAAATGTCTGACTCCCTTGTCATATCCATGTTGATCCTGCACATACTGTGACCTCCTCCTCTTTCATGTCTTGCGGCACATGTAAGAGTGCCCGATCGATAGTCCACAATGCTTGATTTAGACCAGCTTTTTTATGGAGATCAATAAAACTCCTGGTTAGCCTTATCCCCAACATCTTGTGTGCGGTTAGAAGTGAAGGTGGACTTTGGAACAAGCTGGTGACCGACTTAGCCCTTAATTGGACTGTTGTTTTTCTCTCTCATCAACTGTTTTCAAGCAGCAAATTTGCACAGATCTTGTTTTCCCTTTTTGTCATTTTCTTTGTAGTTTTTTTTCTCTCTCTACTCGGAACGCGTAAAGCAAACGTGTTGAGAATACCTCCGACGAGCTTTTAACAAGAACGACAGCAACAAATTGCATTGACGCAGCGCCTTTCACGTCGAGAGGACGTCCCAAAGCGCTGGACAGTGAAGGGTTTGCACCCGAGCTGGGGGTGGCCATCAAGAGGGATGGAGGGTAATTGGGTGGGGGTTGGGGAAAATGACTGAAGAGGACTGTCTTGAAACAGGGCAAGGGAGAGTCCGTCTTCTTCCGCTCCTTCAGTCATCTTCCCCTCCCGCGCTCCCCCACCCCCAACCAGCCTCCTCGACTCCCATCCCCAGCTCGTGTGTCAAGCAACTTGGGACGTCCTCCCGACGCGAAAGGCGCCGTGGGTGGCAAATATAAATTTGTCGAGGTTGCGTAGCCTAATGTCTCTTCTTTGCCTCGCCGCTTGTCCTATCCACGTTCTTGCTTGGTTGCTTTGCAGGCTGCGGAGTTAACTTTGGCCTGAAGGGCCTGGAGTCGCTGGAGGAGTTTATTTACCGGATGGCGACGGCCGCTGATCAGAGCGACGTGTTTGAGGCGCTCTCGGCCAAGATCCGGCACTCCAAGCAGCTGGCGGAGGAGTTCCGGCTGAACGGGCTGACCATGGCCATGTTTGAATGAGGAGGCAGTGGCTCGGTTGCCAACAGGAGTGCGTTTGGGGTGGTGGGGGGAGGGTCCTTTCACCACCTCGTGCAGCATCGCCAATGAACACTCCCCACCACCCCCCCACCATCCCACCCCGGTCGGAGGACATTTTTCTGCCAATCCTGTCGGACGGGTGAAGAGGGCGAGCGAGCGAGACAGGCTGGTGTGAAGTTGGGAGGGGGTGGGGGGCGGGCAGCCAGTGGGCATGGGTTGGGGGTATTTGACTATCATGCTGCCCTCCTTTCAGTCGCTCAGGCACAAAGCATAATGGCTCGGCCTCAACCCACTACACAGTGACGTTATCTGTTGGTAACCTTTCGAAGGCTCATTCACAGAGGACATCTGCTTGGGTTCAAGAAGCTCTGAGTATTGACTCATTGTGATGCTTATTGGTTGGACCAAAGACGTCCCTCATAGAATAATAGCTTACTCGACAACCACCACCCACACCCCCACAACCCATCACACACACACACACACACACACGTGCACACTCCCCACGACCACTCCCATCCCACGCTGGGTCGGGGGCTCAGGAACACTGATGGGGGGGGGGGATCCTGTGCACAATGCTTCGGGAGAAATTCAACCCCAAATTTATTTCTGGATGTACTCTTATTTATGTCGCATTTTACAGTATCCAGAGTTTGCGGGGAGGAGCCGGCATCTAGAATTTGTGGGAAGCTCTCCGAGGCACCATCCTGTGCGAAGGCCGTTATATAAATGCAAGTCGTTGTTGATAATAATAATAATCATCCTTGCATTGTTGTTGTTGCGTTGTCAGAGGTACCGTCCTTCACCCGAGCCATTAAACTGAGCTCTCATCCGCCTCTGCTTATCGAAATTGGCTGCCGGGTTCACCGCAAAACACACAGTCACCACACCTTACAGTACACCCAGTGAAGCCCTTCGAGCCCGTCCTCCCGACTGACGCGCGAGGCGCCCTGTCAAACGGAAGGATTGTTCTTGACTATCGGACTGCTCAAACGGCTTCCATCCAAGTTGAGAGCGGATTTGAGAACGTTTCCCCAGATCTGCACCATCGTAAATTTTGGAGACAAAACTTTCTCATGGCTGAGACTAAGTGGAATTTCCGGCCTGGGATCTCTATGGGAAAAACAATGTATTTATTCAAATGGAATGTATTGGCGATCGGACAGCACTCAATGTCAACACAGGTCCCACACCAAAGACTCGATTAGCTTCCCCGTTGCACTGAAGATCTAAGTGCTCTTGAGATCTCGCTGCTGAGTCTGGGAAGATGTCAATTTGTGGTCAGAGGCGACCAGGGGTATTCGAAGGAAAAACAAAATGAACAGGACCGATATTTCCGAATATTTGACGACCACAAGTTATGTCACTCGCTGCCAGCAATAAAGTTCATTCACGGTATCCCGAGGTGTGTGTGTGTGTGTGTGTGGAATAGAATTCCTGTGCGCAATTGGATGCCACGTTTCGCGCACAAAGCATGCAATCGATTCGCTTTACAGTATCTGCTGCGAAGCGCTTTGAGACGTCCCGAAGACGCTGTATCAAATGCCAGGATTATTATCATTAAACTTTTCAAGTTCAGAAAAGAGCTATCGTGCTATCTGCCAGCTCTCTGTAGGAGCTTCTGTTCAGCCACACTCCACTGCCTTCCCACAACGACAACTTGTGTTCATACAGCGCCCCTCACTCAGGGTAGCGTCCCAGAGCGCTCTCTCCCCTCCTTCGCCCCCCCTTCCCACCCCCGCATACACCTTTTATGTTTCTCCTCAAATGTTTGTCTAATCCCCTTTTCAAAGTGATTATGGATTCCGCTTTAACAAGAGTATTTGGTCGGATGTTATGTGTCCCAATGACTCCTCTATGTAAAAATAAAGCTTCCCCACCCCCCCACCATCACTGTGTGTGTGTGTGTGTGTGTGTGTGTGTGTAGAGCGCAGATCACTGATTGGTTTTACCCCCTGAGGAACAGTCTCGATAAGGCTGACAGAATGAGGACATTCTCTGTTAGGGTCAAGGACAATTGATCCACCTACAGGAGCTGTGGAACCTTTGCTCGAGGCACTCAAAGAAACACTTTCTCCCGGATCAACTGCTCTTTTTCTTAAATTAACTTGCGTTAGTTTTGTGTTTCGAATTGACTCCCGAGCACTGGGACACCTTTGTTATTGGAGCTCCATCTCGGAGTCCCTCCGACTCGCTTCCCCCTCCTGAGCCAAAGTCCGTCTCACTATATACTCCTTTGACATTGCTTTCGGTCATCTTTCTTTCTCTCCCCCTCACTACCCCCCCCCCCCCCCCCGCCCTCAGCTCCCACCATCTCGCCCAGATGCCCAGCTCGCTGTGTCGAGCACTTTGAGATGTCCTCCCAGACGCGAAGAGTGCTGTGTAAATATTGCATTGACCTTGCTTGTGCTTTGCCTCCACCAAGCACGTTCTCCTACGTGAAAAGTCACTGTACAAGGTTATTGTTGTGGTTGTCGTAAACTTTCGGATTGAAGGACGGAAACTGACTGAAAGGGCATGTTTACACAAAATGTCTTTCCCATCCTTACATTCCTCCAGGGGATTCTGATTCCCGAAGGAACCACACAGCTGGTTTCAGCAACTCCGGGCTAGGAACAGTCAAATCCAGAGATGCCAGCGTGGGGTTTGGCTGGGTGGGGGTGGCGGGGTGCTATTTATTTGTTTTGCTGGACTTATTCGTAAATTCTCAGACGATGTCCATTTGTTGCCGTAATCCAAATGTGGGGTTTAATCTGCTCCGACATCCCACCATACGCAGCTTGTGCTTAGCTTTTGCCGTTTAAACTTTAGTGGTCAGTCAGTAACCTGACCTTCTCTGACCCATTGAAAAGAGCTTCTAGTAAACATCACCAATGGAACTCTGTTAAACATTATTTATAGTATAAATATATATATATATATCCAGTCACCAGGAACATAACTTGTCTTTATTCCATTCGTTCAGGAGCTGTTCTTAACTTCCCTGCAGAGACCTGCCGTTTAGCACTTCTGTATTACAGTCATTAAAATGCCATTACGTCTCTCAATTTATTTAATGATTTCATCAATCACGCATTCTAACAAAAAGGGCCATTGTTAAGCGTTGCTGGCTCCATCACTCCCACACGTGGGTGAATACAAAGGAATTCGAATGTGGGGCAAGTCTTAATTTATCTCGTCATCTCAGACACCATTGCCCCAATCTCTTACTCACTCCCATGGCCATTGAGACTTTTGCCAACTACCCAACTACACTGTCAGCCTGGCTCAGTCGCTCGCCCTCCCTGACTCACGACCTGTTGAGTCAGAGGGTTGTATGTTCAAACTCCCACGTCAGGTCTTTGAGCTCACAGCCCAGGCTGGCTCTCCCAATACAATACAATAATAATAATAATAATAATCCTTGCATTTGATATAGCGCTTTTCACGTCGGGAGGACGTCCCAAAGCGCTTCACAGAACACACTGTAAAGTGAATTGACTGTATATTTGTGGGCGAACGCGGCAGCCAATTGCGCACAGCAATGTCCCACAAACAGTCGTAGATTGAAAATGACCAATTTATTATTGTTTTTTTTGTTTTTTTTTGGAGGGATTGTTATTACAATACAATACAATACAGAGCTGAGGGGGTTAGAGCTGCTAACTCATCCATCGGATGAGACGCTAAACTGAGGTCCCTTTGTCTGTTCAGGTGGACGTTAAAGATTCTGCGTCGCTTTTCGAAAAGCGAGAGTTTTATCAACGACTCCCACAGATAAGATCAGTCATTCACTTCACGGTTCCTTTGTGGGTCGTTGCTGTACACAATTGGGCTGCCATGTTTGCCCAGTCACTACACTTGTTGATCCTGTAGGACAGTGAGAATGGTCAGAGTCATGGCCAATGGGATAACATAACATAACATGTAGGAGTAGGCCATTCGGCCCTTCGAGCCTGCCCACCATTCAATCATGGCTGATCTTCTAATCTAACTCCAGCTAATAACCTGACTCTGCCTTATCCCCATATCCCTTAATCCCTTTTATAACATAACATGGATGGAGGGTCTTGGTCAGTCATCAATGGAAGTGAGTCACTTTTGGGACAGGCAATGAGAAGAATCTGAAAGAGATGATTTCTGTGAATTTTAAGACTTTTGTACGTTTGTGAAGATACAAGAAGTCTTTGTGAGCACAGTGCAGGGTGTCCACAAAGTCCTGTTACCCCATGTTTTTTTTCCCCCCCTCTCCAGCGCACTGACCAACAACTGAAACATGTGGAAGAATGATGACAATTGTATTCAGAAGGGCTTCATTGTATTTCAGTTGTGTTTAACTGTATTTAGATGTCCAGAGGATGGGTGTGGGTGAGCGTGCGAGTGCGCGAGGGTGTGAGTGTGTGTGAGTGTGAGTGAGTGAGTGAGTGAGTGCCATAATTTTCATGGCATACAACGATGCGTCGCCATGTTCGGTGTGACATCTTCTGTAACATGGCTGGAGTGCGGAGGCCAAAATGTGTCTTTGACGACTTCTTTCAGCTCCTCCGTTGTCTCAGATCAATGTTTTGTAGTGGGGGTGGGGGTGTGGGAGGATTATGTGGACACCCTCTAGTCATTTGGACCCAGAACTCAACAATGGGTGGAATCTGGGAGGGATATTGCTATTTATAAGGTTAGGAAACTGCCTCAAACCCTGTTGACATGGAGGCGGGGAGCATTGCACCAGGCCCCGCGGGCCCTTGTCTTTTCCTACGCCGTTCGGTGATGAACGTCGCATCGCAAGGCAGCGAAGTTAACGATAGTTTCCAAAGAGTAAAAATATAATACTTTGCTGCGAAACTCTTCAAAACGTGCAGCTGTTTGGAAAGGCAAATTTACTGCCATCTTGTGGAGGTGTGCTGTACAAGTACTGGGTTCCTGTCGGCTTGGTTCCACCCTGTAGCTTTCCTGGACTGCATCTGTGGTCTCTCTCCTGATGTTTTATCCCCTGACACTCAGCTCTCTCTAGCGTTCTCCCTTTCTCTCTCTCTCGGTCTCTCCGTCTGTCTCTCTCTCCGTCTCTCTCTCTCTTTCTCGGTTTCTCTCTCTGTCTCTCTCTCTCACTCTGGCTTTCTCTTGTTCTCTCTGTCTGTCTGGTCTCTCTCTCTCTCTCTCTCTCACTCTGATTCTC